CCTATGATGCTGCTTGGCCTGCTGTGTTATTATGAAGCAGTTTTGTTCTCAATGTCTCCCCTTACATGAGGTGATATGACCCTCAGGTTAAATCACCACCAGTTGTCTCTGTGAAATGAGAAAGAAGCCCTATGGTCTGGTAAGACGATGATGATTTATACCATTATGTAATCGCTGTCAGCAGGATCAGGCTGAATGGATTTTCAAACCTTTTGTAATAAAACATGTGAAAGTTGACATGTGTTTTATACCTTATCAAGAAATGAACAGGTACTGATCAATGTGAAACTGCACTGAGGAGAACGATGCAAGTTGAAGATTAAATTTGATCAATTTATCTTTGACAGATACCCGATCAGGTCACCAAGGCCTGGTTGCTATGGAGATAAGTTTGAATATCCTGGCATCAGAACCTATGGAATCCGAGATCCTAATGAGCAGTATGATGTCTACTGTTACATCAAGGAACTTAAAGGCAAGTTGAAATTTCTGCTTGGTTCAAAAATGGTGGAAAAACAGGCCCAGGAGATTGAATATAAAGCACTCCATTTGATTCTTCTGCGCAAATTGACACCTCCCGTTTCCTATCTTGTTTTTCTTTATTCTGACATGAGCTGTGGACATCAATGATAAGCATTTTTCCCCCATCCCTAATTGCCCTTGAACTGAGTTGCTTGTTAGGATCACTTCAAGGGGGACAGTTAAAAGCCAACCACATGGTTATGGGTCTGGAGTCACATGTAGATCAGAACAGGCAAGCAGGGCAGATGTCCTTCTCTTGAAGGCATTAATGAACCAGATGGGTTTTTACAACAATTGATGATAGATGTCATTGTTCCTGTTATCACGATTAGCTTTCTATTCCGGATTTATTAACTGAATTTAAGTTCCACCGCTTGCTGTGGTGGGATTTGAGCTCATTTCTCCAACACACTAGCCTTGGTGTCTGGATTATTTGCCCAGTGACATTAGTACCACTACATCACTGTCTCCCTCAGGCATTGCAAATAATGCAGCTATTATTTGGATATTTTGAGAGGGAGACACTGCCTCATGGTTGTTAAGAAAAATAATTTCGTCATGGGGAAGGGAATGTGCTTTTTTTTGGGTGTTGTGCTTGGGGAATGTTTGCAGCCATCAAAAGGAAAGATGCCAGAAAAGAGACTGAAATCTGCCATTTTTAATTCCAATGCTCAATTCCTCCTATTTAGACATTTCACACCCAACTTTGGGCTGTAATTGCCTCTGTACAGTACTAATCTGGTCTTTGAAGCCTAGGCAAGCTACTTGTTTGTCTCAGCTCTTTTCATAGAATCACGATGATTCAGGCCATTCAGCCCATACTGCCCCTCCGAACAGCATCCTTCCCAGGCCCACCCCACTACCCTATTCCTGTAACCCTGTATTTCCTATGGTTAACACCCCTGCCCTGCACATCCCTGGCCAGAACGGGCAACTTAGCATGGCTAATCCATCCTAACCTGCACATCTTTGGACTGTGGGAGGAAACCGGAGCACCCGGAGGAAACACACGCAGATGCAGGGAGAATGTGCAAACTCCACACAGACAGTCGCCTGGGGGTGGAATTGAACCCAGATTCCTGGTACTGTGAGGCAGTACTGCTGAGCCGCCATACCACCCTGAATGGGACCTGGAGAGATTTGCTGGGCTGTGCGTGTAGTATGGTGACTTTCGTGTTTCCCCATTCTAGCTGGGATGATAAGTTGTGTGGGCCCCACCATCCTATCCCAGCACCAGACTGCTGATATCTATCTGCAGCCGTGTCTGAGCTGTTCTCTGCTGGAACTCGAAATAGGCCAGCCTGTATATGTGATGACAAATGCTAGATATTACGGAGTAAAGGAGGACAAATTAAGAGGCACTGCATGGTGTTACTCAGATGAGAAAGACTTTCATTTACTTGGCACCTATCAAACCCGCAGGACAACACAAAACATCTCACAGTCAGTGAAATACTTCTGAAGAGCAGTTATCTTGTAATATGAGCAACACAACAGCAAATTTGCACACAGTAAGCTCCCAAAAATAACATTGTGTTAACAAACAGATAAGCTGTTTTTCTAACGTTTATTGATGAATAGGTATTGGACCAGGACGCTGGGGAGAACGCTCCTTCTTTGAAATGGTGTGATCTTCGCATCTGTCTTGTCCTGTGGGGGTAGAATGGACTTCAGATGAACATCTCCTTTGATTAGTGACACTTTAATACGGCACTGGAGTGTGAGCCTAGTTTACAGGCGGTTTGCAAAATGCATCTTACTCATAATCACAAATGCAGCGCAATGTCTTGCAGCTGCTCTGCAGCAACTTGGCCTACCAAGGTGCTGGCCCGGCCCATGGATAGACACCCACCTTGGGAATGAGGGTCATTGTGAATAAGGGGAGGTGATGGCCGCGTGGTATTATCGCTGGACTGTTAATCCAGAGACCCAGATAACGCTCCCAGGACCTGGGTTCGAACCCTGCCATGGCAGATGGTGGAATTTGAATTCAATAAAAACTTGGAATTAAGAGTCTAATGATGACCATGAATCCATAGTTGATTGTCGGGAAAAACCCATCTGGTTCACTAATGCCCTTTAGGGAAGGAAACTGCCATCCTTACCTGGTCGGGCCTACAAGTGACTCCAGACCCACAGCAATGTGGTTGACTCTTAACTGCCCTCTGGGCAATTAGAGATGGGCAATAAATGCTGCCTGGCCAGCGATGCCCTCATCCCGTGAATGAATAAAGGATCTCCTCTCGCCTGTCAGCCTGGGAAAATAAAATCCAAATAAGCAGCATTGGCCCCGAGCTTGAGTGTGTTCACTGTCAAGCTTCAAGATAAATTACAAGTAGATCAAAGACTCTCTGTATCGTTTCAAATTGGGCCGGAAGGCTGTGTGCCTCGGTGCACCCATTTACAGAAGCCCAATGCTGGGTGAGAGTGATATGAAATCATTTCACGTTTGCTATGAAACTCTAGGCCCTAGCAAAATCTCACATGTATGTCTGACTGGTTGGAACCTTCTCACCTCTCAGCGAAAAGGCTATGGGATCAAGTTCCATTTCAAGGTCTTCAGCACAGAACCCAGGCTGAGAGAACTTTGCACTGTCGGACATGGACAGGGTATTAAACTGAATCCCCATCCGCTCTCTCAGTTGGGCATTAAAGATCCCACGAGGACAGTTTTGAAGGAGGATACAGGAATCCACCCAGTGTCCAGGTCAATGTTTATCCCACAACCACTATCATTAAAATAGGTCATTTGGTTGGTGGGATCTTCCTGTGTGCAAATTGGCTGCTCTGTTTTTCTACTTTTTTTTATTCATTTATGTGGATCACTGACTGTGCAGTATTTATTGGCCACCACTAGTTGTCCATGAGAAGGTAGTGGTGAGCTGCCTTTTTGAACCATTGTAATCCATGTGCTCTACGTAGACCTCCCCCCCATTGCTGTCAGGGAGATAATTCCAGGATTTTGACCCAGCAATGCCGAAGAAAAGATGATATATTTTATTTCATTGAGGGGTATAGAGAAAGCAGGTCTGGCAGCACTGGTGGAGATAGAAAGCAGAATTAATGTTTTGGGTCTAGTGATAGCTTGATCACTCAGTGGTTAGCACTGCTGCCTCACAGCACCAGGGACCCGGGTTCGATTCCACCCTCGGGTGACCGTCTGCGTGGAGTTTGTACATTCTCCCTGTGTCTGCCTCCAGGTGCTTCGGTTTCCTCCCACAATCCAAAGATGTGTAGGTTAGGGTGGATTGGCCGTGCTAAATTGCGCATATTGTCCAGGGATGTGCAGGTTAGGGTGGATTAGCCATGGGAAATACAGGGATAGGGTTGGGGTTGGGTCTGGGTGGGATGCTCTCCAGAGGGTTGATGTGGACTTGATGGGCTGAATGGCCTGCTTCCACACTGTAGGGATTCTGTGATGACCCTTCTTCAGAGCTGAAATGTTAACTGTGCTTTCTCTCCACAGATGATGCCAGACCTGCTGAGTTTTTCCAGCAATTTCTGTTTTTATTCCTCCATCTGCTATGGTGGGATTTGAACTTAGGTCCCCAGAACATTATCTGGGTCTCTGGATTACTAATGTAATGACAATATCACTATAATGACTCACCACTGCCTCCCCCATTACATCAGTGACGACAATTCAGAAGTAATTAATTGGCTGCAAGAAACCACACTGGGGTGTGCTCTAAGTCATGAGAATTGCTTTAGAAATTTCTGTCTCTTATGAACATGATTTAGTGTCATAAAGTCAGACAGTCATTATGGCACAGGAACAGGTAATTAAGCTCATCAATTTCTGACTCAGTGTGGTAAGTTCTGTCAAATGTTGGTGATTTCTGGGATTGAGATAATGTCAGGATATTGTACAACGATCTTTGAATTTTACATGCAAAGATTCTTTGTGTTTTCCAATGATGTGATACGAGACATTCTAAGACATTCAGTCCCCCTGCCAAACCTGCAACTTGGGATTTCTAATTGGCTCGATTGTGCATGGCATCGTTGAAAGGTTTCATGCTCGTTGACCTGCCCAATGCGTTCTGCACAGTGACCACTTTCCAACAGTCTCCCTGTAGACCATGTTTTCAATCCTCAACATCTTCACCAAGGCTGTGAAACCAGCTTGTGCCCAACTTTGCTCAGCATTGTTTGAATCCTATAGTGACGGTATCTGAAACTGAGCCAGTGACTGTGCCCATACAGTTAACTGATCTCAATTCTCCCAAATGAGACACTTTGGCAGTAACTGAGGGAGTCTTTGTGGGATCTTACATTGACTGTGCGTTGGGGAGGGAGTTCCAGGATGTTGTCCCAGCAACGATAATGACACAGTGACATATTTCCGAGTCAAGACGGTGAGTGCCATGGAGGGGAACATGCGGGCGGTGGTGGTGTTTCCATATACTTGCTGCCCTTGTCCTTCTGGATGGTAGAGATCATGGGTTTGGAAGGTGCAGTTGAAGGAGCCATGGCGGGTTTCTGTAGTACATGTTGAGGATGGTAACAGTACAGCCACTCTGTACAGGTGGCGAATAGGGTGAATGTTTTCCCTTCAGGTGTACTTATTTTAATAACCCTTCTTTAAGAGAACTACTTTGCCTCGTGATACCAGCAAGTGAAAGAGAACAACATTAAGCTGTGGCTCCATTAAGGGCCCACACCCCAAGCGGTCCATGAGTGAAGACTGAGAGATGCCTGGAGGCCCAAATCAGTCCAATGAAGTGGCTCCTGCGATGTACTAAGTGAATTATCCTTCTATTATATCAAGTACTACTCACTCCCGTGACTGACAACCCCTATTCATGTCTTCACAGGCAGTGTATTTCACGAGACGACCACTCTGAAATTGAACCTGACTGAGGCCGTGCATCAATGCCAGATGCAGGGAGCTGAACTAGCAACTGCTGGCCAACTGTACATGGCCTGGAGTCAGGGCTTCGATCAGTGCGACGCCGGCTGGTTGGCAGATGGCAGTGTGCGTTACCCCATTAACATCCCTCGAAGAAATTGTGGCGGAGATACACCAGGGGTGAGGACAGTTTACCAGCTCCCAAACAGGACTGGCTTTCCTGATGCTGGCTTAAAGTATGATGCCTACTGTTACAGAGGTAAGACTGTTATAGAGTTTTAATTGTTACATAGATTCGGCTGCTATTGAGATATATTTATTACAGAGGTAAGACTGTTATAGAGTTGTAATTATTATAATAGGTACAGCTGTTATTGAGATATGACTGTTACAGAGGTAAGACTGTTATAGAGTTATAATTGTTACATAGATATGGCTGTTATTGAGATATGACTGTTACAGAAGCACGAGTGTTATTGAAATATTGGTTGCACAGTGGCTCAGTGGTTAGCATTGCTAGCTCACAGCACCTGGGTTCAATCCCAGCCTCAGGTGACTGTTGGGGTGGAGTTCGTACATTCTCCCCATGTCTGTGCGGGTTTCCTATGTGTGCTGTGGTTTCCTCCCACAGTCCAGAGATGTGCAGGTGAGGTGGAATGGCCATGCTAAATTATTCTTAGTGTCCAAGAGATGTGTACTCTAGGTGGGTTAGCCATGGGAAATGCAGGGTTACAGGGATAGAGTAGGGGGATGGGTGGAATGTTCTTCAGAGGGTTGATGGGCTGAATGGCCTGCTTCCATACTGTGGGGATTCTGTTAAAGCATGACTGTTGTAGAGATATGAGTGTTATTGAGGTAGGATTGTTATTGACAAATAACTTATTGCTTCCATAGCTTTGTAGACACAAGAAGAACAAAAGAACATTAATGCAGTTATATAAAAGGATAGACATAGTTTGTTAGTACAATGTTATTTAGTGATGTCAAACCTCAGGCCAAGCTCCACACTAGCCCTTGCTGACTCAGAGCTCCCCACCCTCAAAGTCTCATCCTACCCCCATTGGGGGTTATGACCAACAGCTGGGAACCCCTGACCATACCGACCAGATGGTCCTCATTCATTTCCTGATGGCTGGGTGTTACAAATCACCGTGTCAGGCAGGAAAGTGGAGCTGAGACCACAATCAGATCGACCATGATCTTGTTGAATGGTGGAGCATGTTTGAAGGGCCCAATGGCCTGCTCCTTGCAGAATCACAGAATTATTGTGCTGCAGAAGGAGGCTGTTCGGCCCATCATGTCTGGACTGACTCTACTCTCCTGTGCCCATCTCCTGCTTTTTCCCTGTATCCCTGTGCACCATTACTATCCAAATAATCATCCCATGCCCCTCTTGACTGCCTCAATTGAACCTGCCTCCACCACATTTCCAGGCAGTGCATTCCAGACCTTAAACTACTCACTGCGTGAAAGATTTTCCTCATATTGCCCTTGCCTTTTTCACATATCACTCTAATCTACGCCCTCTCATTCTTATAATTTTTACCAGGGGAAACTTAGAAACATACAAGATAGGAGCAGGAGGAGCCATTGAGCTCTTCAAGCCTGCTCTGCCATTCTTCACAATCATGGCTGATCGTCCAGCTCAATAGCCTGATCCTGCTTTCTCCCCATAACCTTTGATCCCATTTGCCCCCAAGTGCTAAGTCTAGTCGCCGCTTGAATACATCTTGAATACAACTTCACTCTGTCTACTTTGATGAGGAAGAATTCCTTCACTCAGAGAGTTGTGAACCTGTGGAATTCTCTCGAATAGAAATCTGTTGGGGCCAGTTTGTTAGATATATTCAAGAGAGAGCTGGATGTGGCTCTTGTGGCTAAAGGGACCAAGGGGTATGGAAAGAGGGCAGGAATGGGATACTGAGATTGCATGATCAGCCATGATCATATAGAATGGTGGTGCAGGCTTGAAGGGCTGAATGGCCTACTCCTGCTCCTATTTTCTATGTTTCTACGTACTTCGTCCAGCCCGCTCATGATTTTGAAAACCTCAAACAAATCCTCTCTCAGCTTTATTTTCTCCAGGGAGAACAGTCCCAACTTCTTCAATCTATCCTCGTGACTGAAGTCTCACAAACCTGGAACCTTTCTTGTAAACTGCTTCTGCACTCTCTCCAACATGTTTGCAACCTTCCTATAACATGGTGCCCAGTACTGTACCCACAATCCTGCTCTTCGTCCGAGCTAAGGCCTGGATAACCAAGCTGGTTACCTTCTTGAATTCGCATCAGTGACCCCAATCACAAGTGTATCCGAATTGTTGGATAAAATAGAGTGGGGATCTTTTGTGACGCAAGGCAACTTTGAATCAATTTTTGGAGCGGGGTGGGTGGGAAGTAGCCCTTATCATAATACTGCCCCAATATTTGGCACGCTGTCAATTCCAATTCCACTAGGGTGGCACGGTGGCTCAGTGGTTAGCACTGCTGCCTCACAGCGCCAGGGACCCAGATTCGACTGTAGCCTCAGGTTGGAGTCTGTGTGGAGTTTGCACATTCTCCCTGTGTCTGTGTGAGTTTCCTCCATGTTCTCTGGTTTCGTCCCAGGTTAGGGTGGATTAGTCATGGTAAATACAAGGTTATAGGGATAGGGCAGGGGAGGTGGGTCTGGGTGGGAGCTCTTCAGAGGATCAGTGTGGACTTGATGGGCCAGATGGCCTGCTCCCACACTTTGGGGATTTTATGATTCTACCTTTCCATAAATAAGGGGACCAAAACTGTTCACAGTATTCCACCTGTGGTTTGCTTACTGTGATGACTAAAGTGATCATGGTTATTAAAGGTAACATGTCACCAGGGCATGTACTAGTTAAATATAGTGCATCAGGGCATCAAACAATAAAAAAGGAGTATTGGATTATCTGAATCATCATGTACACCTGGAATGTTCCAGAATTTAGTACAGCTGTGTTTTGTATACAGTGATGGATCTTGCTGCAAGTTCACTAATTGCAGACTGTTTATTAACTTAAAAGAAAATGCTTTCATCCTGTTGTATAAAACCACAACTGAGGAAAAGAAAAACAAGCCTGTCTGGGCATTGATGCCGTTCGAACCTGGCTTAGGTTCGCTAACCTTTCCTGGAGCACCTGGGGTCTCTGTGAATCAGAGATTACACTATTCGACATTGCTATGAGTAAGTAGTCCAGGTATTGTCCTACCATGCTCTCTCATTAGAGACAAATAACCAGTGGTGATGGTTAAAGCTGAGGGTCACCATAACTCAGGCAAGATGAAAGATTGAGAAGGAGAGTCCTTCATGGTAACCTCAGCAGTATGCGGTTGTTTTTTTAAAAATTTTAACAATATACTTTATTCATAAAAATCTTTATTTATCCATACATAGTCGCTGTTGCTGTACGATTCTGTACAGTCTTTACATTTGGAGAAGAAACAAGCCCAAGGCATTTCTTAATTAAACAAGGTACTATTTACATGTATTTGAGGCACCAGGAGGGTCCGATAACTGAATGAACCTCCGTTGTACTTTGGCTGAGATGTTACTCTGCATTGCAAACCAGCCAACTGGGTTAACTAACCCCCTTGCAGAGAACTCTCCTTCTCAACCTTTCCCCTTGCCTGAGCTGTGGTGACCCTCAGATGAAACCACCACCAGTCTATTGTGATTTTAACCAGGTCAGTCAGGTGGACCTCATAGAATATGATGGGGGCTGTTAATCTGGTCCAATCAGGGAGCCCTGGCTGACAGATATAACAGGAGTGTCAGATGTTCACTCTGAGAGCTGGCTCAGTGGCAAGGTTTTGTGTAAATAAAGGGTGACTTGGTGATTGTGGGGAAGAAAAATTACTGGTCTCTGTGGAGTTATTTCAGTCATCTCTTTGTAGTGAGGAAGCAGATGTCTGGTCTAGTAAGACTGTGGTGAGTTTTACAAATATAAAGGAATAATTAAAAGATCAATAAAAGACTAGTTTTTGATTTTCTTAGGAAGTTTATCAGATATTACAAGAGATTGGAGGTGTTTTAAATGACTGGCTAATGCTTGACTATCAGGTAGCTTTTTGCTGATCTGAAGAAGAGTCACTGGACCCCAAATGTTATCTCTTCTTTCTATCTTCACTGATGCCAGACTTGTTGAGTTTTTCCAGCAATTTCTGTTATTGAAGCTCTTTGTTTTTGTGATTGATATGATTGGTGATCACTATGACAATGTGCATGTCATGTGACCAGTGTAAGGTTCAGTTGGAGGTCATGTGGTGAAGAGCTCCAGAAATATACCCAGCAAAAGTGGGCAACACTGACCTGATTCAGTGAGAACATCGCCTTTTGAAATGGCTGTTGCAGTTCCATAGCCTTTACATCATAAGAACATAACTGCTAGGAGCAGGTCTAGACCATTCAGCCCCCTTGAGCCTGCTCTGTCAGTTTATATGATAATGGCTGACCTTGTCTTGGCCTTAAATCTACTTTCCTGCCTGCTCCCCATAACCCTGCAATCTGTTACTATTTAAAAATCTGTCCTTAAATTTATTCAAATGTCCCAACATCCTCTGGGGTAGTGAATTCCACAGATTCATGACCTTTTCAGAAAAGTAATTTCTCCTCATCTGTTTTTAAGTTGCTTGCCCTTATCTTAAAACTATGACCTCTTATTCTAGATTGGCTCAAATCAGGAAACATCCTCTCTACATCTGCTTTGTCAATCCCCTTTAGCATCTTCTATACATCAATTAGGTCTCCTCTCGTTCTTGTATGCTCCAGAGAGTATAGGCTTAAGCTGCTCAATCAGCTATATCCAACAACCACTCAGCAAACATCTCTCTGGGAGAGTCTAAAGGCTGACCCACAATGCTTCTTGCTTTTCCATCCCAACCAATAGGGAAGAGTATCTTTTGCCCTGTCTCTCAGTCAGGGATCAAAAGCATGGCTGGGAGTCTGTAGCGCAAGCCTCTGTGCCATCTGCACAGAGTTTTGAAGGTTAAGGGGTGATCTGATAGAAGTCTTCAGGAGATTGACAGGGAAAGACAGGGTAGATAATGATAAACTATTTCCACTGGTTTGGGATTCTAGAACCAGGGACATAGTCTGAGAATTAGGGCCAGATCGTTCATGAGATGTTAGGAAGCACTTTGACACACAAAGGATGGCAAATGTTTGGAATTGGCTTCCAGCATTGGCAATGGATGCTGGATCCACTGTTAATTTTAAATGGAAGATCACTTTTTGTTAAGGAAAGGTGCT